TTGCTATACATTAATGTGTAAAAAAAACTGTTGCAACTTGCAAGCTTGGATTTGGCATGAATTTTCCAGAATTGTGAAAGTTATAGGCTGAGCCTGATTTGCTTTCTGTAGTAGCTGATTGTCCTTTGGTTGTTTCTGCAGCCTCCAGAAGTATGGAATGGTGGTGTTGGCTTCGTCTCTAAGGAAATGATTCAAGAGCATTGCCCTGCACCTGCATCTGACATTAAGGTAACACAAACAAATTTTTCACTGAGAATAGCTATGCAAAGTTATTGGATCTGTATGTGATTTTTGGTGTCATTAATAACCAAATGACTTCGAAAGATAACCTAAAGCTTTGTGTTTTATTGTATTTCCAGGTATTGAGATGTGGACCTCCACCAATGAACAAGGCTATGGCAGCTCATCTTGAAGCTCTTGGTTACACCCCAGAGATGCAATTCCAATTTTAATTTTGTCACAAATTTAGCCCTACACATGGTTTCATTGTTAGTGTGGGGGAACAGAATTTTTCATGTTGGAATAGCAGGGGAAATGAATCATGTAATGCAAATTGTTGACGTTGTTCCTGTGAACTTGGAGCAATAAAATTTCCCAGAAGTTTATGACTGTCTTTGAATTGCGTAATTCTGCAATTGTCTCGTCTCTCTCCACTGTTCTTCAACTGTTTGTCTCTGGTCGTCTCTCTCCACTGTTCTTCAACTGTTTGTCTCTGGTCGTCTCTCTCTGGTTATCTGCCTTGTCCTTATCCTTTCCCTTTTTTACCTTTTCTTTTCTCGTGTAAAAACCTTGGGAAATTTTCTATTTGGGTTTGTAGTGTATGAAATACTTGAACAGTTTGCATTTTGTTTCTAATCTACTAGTTTTGTTGGGTCACGCGAGGGTGCGCTGATTGGTTTGAAGGCAACATTAGCCAGTTTAGTTGATATGCATGCATTCCAGCAAGAAACGTAGTTTGTTGTCTTCTATATCAAATGGTGTTCTGATTGCATGGATGAGAGGTATCCATTGTGTCCAGCGATGTAAGACTGGAAGTAGGCGATGTTTATCCCTTTTCTTTGTTCCTGGATGTATAGGTGACAGTGGTAGGTATATGGCGGGAAAGAGTTGAAACTCCACTACCTCAGGTTGAAAGCATCTGTAAATTGTTTCTCACATAATCGACGATTCCTAACAATTTGTCCATGTTAGGAAGTACAATGCCAACAATGGGGTGTAATAAAAGGTGTAATTATTATATCTATATATTGTACTCTCTCTCTAAGGTTGTATAGAGTTGAATCGAATACGAGCTATTCGAATCAAAACTTGACTTGAACTTTGTATTGATTGAGCTCGAGTCAAGTTTGAACTGCTCGTTGACTTGTAAGCTAGCTTGATTATATTTATGTATTTTTTAGTTTTTTTATTTAATAATAAAATTATATATATATGTTTTTAATATTTTATTATTTTGTTAAAAAATTATTATTTTATTATTTTTAAAATAAAATAATTATTTATTATTTATTTTTTTTTAAACTCGAGCGCGAGTTTACAATGAGAGGACATCGAGATCGAGGTTGAGTTCAAGTTTGATAAATTTAAGTCGAGACTTGGCTCGTATAGATCAAAAATTGATTCAACTCAACATGTTTGCAACTCTAACTCTCTCCCATAGTGAGAGTATAATGCTCATTACACGTATAACAGTCATTACACGTATAATTGAAGTACACAAGTTGAAAAAAGTGAGTCCCGTTTGTCCAATTATTCAAAACTTTGCAAGGGTCCCATTTTGTCCAATTAGTCAAAGTTTTGCAACAATCCCTTGAATTCAATTTTCAACATGTTTGCAATGGCAAAATAATGGCAGCATTGTTTCAATTTCACCGGTTTGCAACAGTAATTTTTTTTCCACTTTGAATACTCAAAATTTTATTTATAAATATTGTTAACATTTTTTTTAATTTCTCACTCTCTTATTCCCTCATTTGTTCTATTCTATCATTTATTTTCTTCAACCTCTTATCCAACTTTCTAAAGTTCCAATATTTTCTTACTATGGATGAGAATTTTAATAGTTTTAGAAATATATTTAATGCTCCACATATAGAAAATTCTTCCTCTTTACAAATCAGAACCATCAAAATTTTTCAAATTATTTAATGGAGATAAATTAATTAAATAGAGTATTATTAATTAATTAATGATGATTATGATATTTTTACATTTTAAGTGTTGGGTATTTGTTTAATAATTGCTTAATTATTTTTAGAAAATAACAATGTATTATTTTTTAGAGCCATAAAAATATATATATTTTTCAAAAATTAATATATTATTTTTAGAAAATAAAAAATTTTGGAAAGTAAAAATTTCAATGAAAGTTAATAAATTATTTTCAAAAACAATGACATTATTTTTAGAAAATAAATATATTCATTTATGGGATATGTATTGAGAATTATTAAAATAAATGTGTGATTTGATTATGGGTCCATACTATTACACTGTATAGAATATAATCTATGGTGAGTGATAGTACAATGGAATAATAAAGTGATGATGTGTTATATGAATTACACTTTTTAAAGTGTAATCTATTGTAGATGCTCTTACGAGGCGTAATAGAGAGTGTAATATCCTTTATTATATCCAACCATTATACCCTTTCCCATAGTAGGAGTGTAATAACCCTAATGCGAATTATGGCCATTACATGCATAATAGACATGCAAGATGACAAAAAAAGAAAAAAAGAAAAATTGGTTGCAGGTCCCATTTGATAATTTTAAAATCATTAAATTTTTTTGACGGTAATATTGTGTCAATTTCAATGCTTTGCAATGATAATGTTTATTCAATGTCAATCCTCATTCACCAAATTGATGAACGGTAAAATTCCCAAAGGTAATATTTTTATTTTTAATTATCATTTTTTAATGTTTTGTGATTCAAAATTTTGTCTGTAAATATTGACACTCTCCTACTCAATCATTTCTTTTCTTCAACCTCTTATTCAATTTTCTAAAGTTCCAATATTTTCTCAATATAGATGAGAATTTTAATAGTTTTATTCTATCCAAGATTTTCAACATTACCTTCAAAGGAACATAGAACTACATGACCATAAAGTACATCACCAACTTCGATCGGACTTGGTTGAGCATATTTGGGAACGGTTTGTTGGCAATGACATTGAAAATTAGTTTTTATTATATTATTACTTCTGCGTCAATTGCTTTAAATTATGTGATGGAGTTAAATTAATTAAATAAAGTATTTTTAATCAAGTTATGATGATTATGATATTTTTACATTTTAAGTGTTGGGTATTTGTTTACTAATTACTTAATTTTTTTAGAAAAATAACAATATATTACTTTTGAGAGCCGAAAAAATATATATTATTTTTCAAAAGTTAATAACATGATTTCTTAGAAAATAAAAATTTTTGGGAAGTAAAAATTTTATGGAATGTTAATAAATTATTTTTTAAAAATAATGAAATAAATTTTTAGAAAATAAATTTATTTATTTATGGAATATGTATTGTGAACTATTAAAATAAGTATGTGATTTGATTGTGGATCCATGCTATTATATGTTGAAGAGTGTAATATATAGTGAGAGATAGTGTAATGAAATACCAGATAATAAAGTGATAATATGGCATATGGATTACACTCTTTAAAGTGTAATTTATTGTGATGCCCAAGTAATTTGTATGAGCTTTTGGAAAGCATGTTTTTAGAATATTAAGTAACATGAACATGAATTCTTGTAGCTCAAAATAACACGAGAAAACACTTGTAACATGACTCCAATGTCATAACTCACTTGGTCTACCATAGCACGCTAAATTGTAAGGGGTTTCGCTTACACCACATTTTTTTTTGGTATAACCCACACGTATTTGCATCCGTTTTATAGTTTACGACTAATCTTTTTCGAGCTGCAACGGGCCCCTTGCGGGAGGAAACTCTCCTAACATTGTTTTTTCCATTCGCATGGGTTTCGAACCCGAGACCTCATAGTTAAGAGATACAAGCCCTTTCCGCTTACACCAACATCTATTGGTGCTTACAACACATTTACCACCCTGAATAGTAGACTAAAGCATATTACTAAAGATTGAAAATTGATCAAAATTAATCTTTAGAAACACAAATTTAAAATATTTTCAACAGCGCAAGGAAAATAAAGTTGACACAATTAAAGCTCAAATTGTTCATTAAATTAGTCTTTAAAATTAGAGCATTATGTAAAAGGTTATTATTGCCAATCATGTAATCAACAATTCATACAAGTGCTTTCTTTCAAATCATCACTGTCTATGTCTCTTGTTGAGTTGTTTCAGGAAAATCTATTTAGTTGATTGTAAAGCTTTTGTTGGTTGAGGTCTACTATTGTTGTACCATGTTGTAGCTTGTCAACTTTTGTTGATAATCTATTGAAACTCATATGTTTTGTATGTTCTTAATTTGACAAACAAGACACGATTTTCCTCACAATATGTGAGATATTACACTTTGCTGCTTGGTTAAAGCTGTCAATGATGACTAGGTACTCTTAAGCTGCCTGCTAATCATTTTTTTATTGCTACAGTTCTGTCTCACATATTGGGCTTTTTGCTTTGTCTAATAACTTTCTGATTATTAAATTAATAAAAGGCTAAGGTTCAAGCTATACTCTACTAATAGCTGATAATAGTATATAAAAAAAGAAACAGAGGATAAGAGGGCTATACCCAGAACCAATTTGAGCAGAAGACAATACTATTTGCTGTAAATCATATCTTGATGCAATATTAGCAGATTACAGGCAAATCATACATCAGACAATCTGCACCACAAAACAAGTCGTATACATTCCAAACCTGATCTAGTTCAAATGACATGTTTAGTGATAGAAAGCTTCTTGATCTACCTAGAAAAAAAAGAAATTCTTAATCTGCTCATTCATCAGCAGCAGACAAAATGATGAAATAAGTTGATGTGTTTGGGAAATCCCAATTTTTATGCACCTTCTACTAGAGTTCTCTTTGATGTGCTGATATTTAACACTGCACGAGACTCGCAATGTTATTATTAAAGTTAAGTGACAAGAAAAACATGCTAAAGCAACATCATTTCAAACTTACCATTATTCCCCCGAATAAAAGCATCCCCATATTTATTCTTCAGCTGTCCATTGACATACTCCTCTGTTTGTTCCATTGCTATATTTATACATCCATCAAGACAAGCTAGAATGCCTACAATAGGCATAATTGTAAAGATAAAATATAGTTGCTCTTAGTCTTGCATGAAAATGCAGAAAAGAAGCTACTTAACAATAATAGAAGACACTATTAAACCAAAGGTGAAGTTGTGTAAAGTTGAATGTCTCCACTTCAACCAATTATGCCTTGTCAAATTATCTGAATGTTTCCACTTCAACAAACTATGCATTGTCAAATTATCATTGGTGTCCCTTTAGTCATCGTTAAGTCATTTTGCTTACTGACCAAAAAGGAAATGATAACATTTCAATTTATGCAAATAATTAAGCATGAGAAAAGAAACGCATTAGGGTATGGACATTCATTACTTGTCCTACACATCTAACAATGCTCATCAATTCAGATGATCCAGTGACAACTTGCTTTTAGCCCAGCTATAGTATATCCAAACACATTGCTTCTATCCCCCTTTCATTATCATCTCCTCTTCTAACCAGCTCTTCCAATACAAACCCAATTCTTCCGTCTGTATTAAGTTGCCGTTATGCCAAAATCATTCTGTTTCTTCATTTTAACTTTACCGTGTGAGTTTTTCCCCATTTTCTTCACTGACATCTCTAATTCTCCATCCTCTTCCTCCAGTACCTTTTTTCCTTCCCTTACATCAACTTAACTTTCATGGTTACTTGAATTCTATTATAACATGCTAATTTACTAGTTCACCAGCTTCACAACCACACAGTTTCCAACAAACTGATGATTCATCAGTTTTAGTGCAAAAGAAACTAATGAATCAATTGGTCATGCTACAAACTATTTTCTTATTCTCAAAAAATATATTTGCCTTCACTCTTCGATGTCCTAAAACCAGCCTGGATAAAAGGGCATATAATGGTAGACATGCTAACATGATACCAAAGCAAATATCATGCATAACAAGAAAACACAAACATACTTATTACATTCAACTTTCTTATTGACATTTTAAGGAGCTACCCCCCACCACCACCTCTGCTGCCCCAAAAAAGGAGAACAACATCAATCCAGCATTTAGAAGTAAAGCTAACACTAAATATTTTCATGAAACACAAACTGAAAAGGATTGGTAGCTATGCAACAATTGCAGCATGCTGAAACGAGCATCATTAAACTGTCTAACCATGAGCAGTAAGCTCAATTATGATTAGCCACATGACATCCAACTGAACATATCTCCCCCAACAATCAACATGGGTTTCCGCTGTTATGTTTGTGAACCACCAAACTCTTATGCTAAGACAGCATAAATTCATAATTGTCATTACAACTTGCAAGATCAGAAATAAATAACAGAAAACTCAACAAAATCATCTAATAAATGTGATAAGCAATCACCAGGTCACTTATTTACAGCTATCACAAGGTGTAACCCCCCTTCCCCTCAAGGGGGGATAAAGTAAGGTTAGCTAACTACAATAATGGTATTTAAAAGAATTCAAGAAACTCCAAAAATTTCCTTGGTTTGCTCAGCTATTATTGTGCTTAGATTTGTAGTGACAATAGTATACTATTAAACTGTGACTAACTCATTTTGCTCAGCTTTTATTGTACTTAGATTTGTAATGACAGCAGTATACTATTAAACTATGACTAACTCATTTCCACACTAATCAGCAAGCATCCAATGGAAACCTTGTGCATACTTTTAACAAAAAAAAAAAAATCCTCAAAAGTGGTTGATTTTGAAAGTATATCAGATAAATCATTGACAAGAACAATATGCTCTGTTTGCACATTCAACTTGCATGTTTGTAACTGGAGCAAACAAAACTAGTTGCCAGATATATAACTGGATAATGGACATAATAACACTAGAAAGCTATGATCATCAAATTACAGAAAGTGCTAAACCAAACTACATTCCACAATAGATATAGCAAGTGTCTCATTCGAAGGAAAGAACTTTAAAACAAGTCACAAGAAAATAGGAAATAACCTCGATAATCAACACCAAAATTCAACTTGACAACAACAGGTCGCCCTTGAATAGATTTAAGAAAATCAGCTGGAGTTTTGGTGGTTGCTGAGCCTTTCTCTCCTGTTCTACTCATGTTTTTGTGCCAATTATGCCACTGGTTTCTTCATGGAAATTTGACAGAAAGTTTAATTAAGAAGCTAAAACCAGCCAAAAATCTAATGCAAAATCAAATCCTAATAACTAAATTATGGTAGCATTAAATTCTTCATCTACAAAACAATCAATGGTATCTTCGACAACAAACATTCAACCATAGGTGAATAGTATCTTCGAGACAAAATAGACGAGCAATCCAACTCATACACATATACAAAAAGATTGAAATTTAGCATTCAAAGCATAAATCCACTAGGACCACAATAGTCCAAGCAGATTTTTATTTTTTAAGGGGGAAAAAGTAAAGTATCTTCCTCCCCACAATTATTTGATTAATACAAACATATATTATGAAATGGTTTATACTCTTCTTTATTACTAAAGCAACTGAATGAACAGTCAATATAAAGAAATATTCATAGACACAAATCCAAGTTATACAGCTACATAAACCCCCAATCATTAATAAAGTACCAGAAGTTTAGAATAAATCCAAAAATCAGAAATATAAACACTTAAAACGATAATTTGTAAGGATATAGTAAAAAGAACATGCTAACAAATAATTCAATTAATCAATAAAATTAATCATAATACTAAAAACATCCCTAAGAAACAATGATAAAATAATAAAAACAAGGATAATTCAAAAAGTCGGGCATTAAAGTAACTAAAGAGCTCAAACTACAATTATAACGAAAAAGCATCAAATTCAGTAATTGAAATCGATAGTTCAAATTAAATTCATAAAAAAGAAAATTTACCAGCCCCGCATTCAATCTTCTTTAGTTTGGCCAAACTTCGCAAGAAAGTCACTGAATTAGACCATGCAGTGACCGGTGGTTGAAGGCTGAGATCAAAAGCGTGTTTTGATAAGTGAATAAGTTTTCACTGGCTTTTTTAAATAGTAGACATGGTCTGTCTGAATTCATTAGATAGATTTGGGTTATCACACAGTGTTTGAATGTTCCCCTCCGGGCAGGCTAAAACGGTTTTTTATAGAATTTTAGTCCACACTTATATACTACATCTATAAAGTGAGATGTTATCTGCATTCAATTATTTATTATTTACACTCTCATCATTTATTTTATCATATAGTATTTTTCTTTTTTATTTCTTTTGGTCAAAATAATAATCTATTAATAAAGCTTGAAAACACATTACCTACACTTCCACTTGCTCCCTTTTCCAGTTTCTTGCAATTATCTCATGTCCCGTCTTGATCTTCTTTGCTGATACCTCGGCATCAGTGTCAATTCTTATTACATCACAAAGGGGTGGGATCCATCTTTGATTTATCTACTCTTGTTTGAGTTGGTCCACCATTTCCTCTATGTTTTTCTTGTTCACCTCTATGCACTCCATCCATTTCTTGTGAGCTCTCTTAATGGTTGAGTTACTGTCTATCCTTATACATTTGAAGATAAATCTGTTTCTTACTTTTCACACTTGCCAAAGTATATTGACTATGAGTTCCAAGTGCTCCTTTGTGTTCCCCAATTTGCATACTTCTAGGAGGCCCTACCATCATCTCCGAAAATTGAATCTTAACTCATTCAGACCCTCCCATTATAGTGGTGCCATTTTCCATGCTTGCGGAGCATTAGGACAAGAGAAGAACAAATGTTCAATGGTTTCCACTTCATTCCCACAGCAACTGCATGTAGGATCACCTATTTTTGTTTTGTGGAATGTGCATTCTTGAATTGCAAGTACTCCTTGTAGGCGTTTCCATAGAAAATATTTGTGTTTATGTTTGATGTTTAGGTTCCATAACCCTTTCCATACATTATCCTTTCTTGGTCCAGTGCTATACTCTTCTTGCTTCCCACTTTTACGTTGAGGTTTCTTCTTTTCATGTTTAGCTAGAGCATAGCCTGTTTTCACCGTATACACCATTGATTTAGAGTGCCTCTAGTACAGTCTATCCTTTCTCTGGAAGCAACTGATATGGATGCTTTATATCTACTCTACATCTTCCTGACAAAAAATCTCCTTCAGTAGCTTCATATTCCATTTGCCATTTGACATGAGATGGTCTATTATTTCCACTTTGCAGTTTATAGGTTTTTCAGTTTTAAACATGCCATTTTCAGTATCAAGTAACCATTTGTCATTCCACACATCCACTATTTTTCCATCTCCAATCCTCTTCATTGCACCTTTAGCAACAACCCTCTTGCACTGAATATGCTTTTCCATGCCCAAGATGCATTGTTCTTAACCTTACACTTGAACAAATTTTCATCTCTCAAGTATTTGGCTTTGATTAGTTTACTGATCAGAGGTTTGTGTAGATTAAAATCATCCATCATTGTTTAGCCAATAGAGCTTCATTGAACCTTTCCAAGTTTCTAAATCCAAGCCTTCACTTCCTTTGCGTGTAGAGATTTTGTTCCAACTTCTCACCCAATGCATTCTTTGACCATATTCTCCATATCCCCAACAAAAGCTTGCTATTCTTTTGCATATCTCCTTGCACAATATCTTTGGAAGTTTGAATCATGACATAGTATAGAAGGGTAAGGCCATGATTACTGATTTGATCAATGTTTCTTTTCCTGCTTGATTAAGAGGTTCCTTTTCCAACCTTGCAGTTTAGACTCCACCTTTTGCTTGATATAGTTAGGCTAGCCTAAGTATTCTCTATCTCTTGCTTCTTTCAAGTCTCCCAATGCACTGCAAATAGCTTCCCTTTACTCTCCTGGGGTATTTCTACTGAAGATGACTGAAGACTTTGCAAAGTTAATATGCTACCTTGATGCCTTTGCATAAGTTTCTAGGATCTCTATGATTGTGTAGTCTTTTTGCACATTAGCTTTACAACACACTGAAGAATTATCAGCAAAGAAATATGAGATAGATTTGGACATGTTTTGCATATTTTAATCCCCGTCATCCTCTTAGTATCTATGGCTCTATCGATAAGGCAAGATAATGTTTTAGCACATATTTAGAATAGGTATGGTGACAAGGGGTCACCTTACCTGATGTCCCTTCCAGGTTTAACATAACCAACCCTCTCTCCATTCAAATTGAAGGAAATTGACATACATTCCATTAGCTATCTTATCGAAATAGGACAGAATCCCATCTTTAGCATCATCCTTTCCAAAAACTTTCATTCAACTCTGTTGTAGGTCTGAGATATATCTAGTTTAAGCACTATGTAGCCATTCTTAGCAGCCCTTTTATTGTTTAGACAGTACATGATTTTCTAAGTAATGATGACATTATCTAAAATTTGTCTGCTTGGGACAAATTCAAATTAGGATGGACTAATGCAATGGGCAGAACACTTTTCATTCTTCTAGCTAGAACTTGATAAATGATCTTGTAGATCACACATAAGCTTATGGATCTGAATTGAGACAAGTCATGGGGGTTCTCAACTTTTGGGATGAGGGAGCTTATGGTCTCGTTGAATGATTTTAGAAGGTGGCCAATATGGAAGAAGCTTTGAACAACATGAACAATATCTAGGTGAATGACATTCCACAATTTTTGGAAAAATAAAGGTGACATGCCCTCTAACCCTGGTGCTTAATCAAGATGCATAGAAAAGAGGGCATTTTTTTTTATCTCATCTTCCTTAATAGGTTTAATTAACTTTTTATTCATTTGATAGTTATAGTAACAGGAATTCCATCAAGGATATTACTCAGTAAGAGAGCTGGAAGCAATGAATAGTTTCTGGTAATAATCACATAGTTTTCTACATATTTCCTTATCATTATCACACCACTACCCATCTTTCTTCTGCAGTTTAGAAATTCTATTTCTCTCCCTCCTAGTCATCACATTAGCAATAAAGTAGGAGAGTTTTTATCCCCTTCTTTCAATAATCTCAATCTAGCTCCCTATAGGCTTTGCCAAGCTATTCTTTAAGTTGCCTAATTTTATTTTATTTTATCATCATTCTGTGCCTTTTTCAGTTCTTGTATCTCTTTTTTTAATCTCTTTAATTTTCTTGCTTGCATTACATTTCCATTTCCTATTCTGTCCAATTAGAGCCAACCTACTTTCGTAGATTTTCCTTGATACCTTATACATTCTTGATCCATCCTGATGGCGCTTCCACACTTTACTAATTACACCTTTTACCTCACTATTTTCAGACCATCTGTTATAAAAAACGAATTTCTTTTCCTATTTTTTGTTCTCTAGCTCTGTACTAAAAGGAAGGAGACTACGATCAAAAGCTTCTATTTCAATATGAAGGCACCTTGATTTGTCAAAATCTTGATACCATTTTGCACTTCCCAATACTCTATCAACTACTTAACCTCTCCCTCATTCTCCCATGAGTTACAAGAAGTCCATGGTCACCCTTCAAATCCAATGTCAACTAGATCATTGAATTGATGAAGCGTCTAAACTACTTGAAACTCCACTCATGTCTTTTCCTACCTCTTTATTTCTCCTCTTTGAGACTAGAACATTTCAATCCCCCATGATAACCCATCCTTTCCCTCATAGCTTGCTCCCTCTTGTCATCATACCCCATTGGGCTTTTCTATTTCCATCCTAAACACTTGCATATAAAACCATAAACCACCACTCATTGTTACTTATAGTATTATGGGCTAGAGCTTCAATAGTGCAACTAGAAGATTGGACTTTGAAAACGAGACTATCTTTATTCTAGAACATGGCTAAACCAATAGCTTTGCCTACTGTATCAACTGTATAGACTTTGTTAAACTTTATTCCTTCTTCTTCATGAACTTTTTTTGGTTTTTAGTTTTGCGGAGTGGAGTGTAATGACTTCCTTGAGTTAGGGAATTGTCAAGAAGCTCCTAGCACCTCTACAATTCCACACTAGAGCTCTCATTGAAAACTTGGAGGCCTATTTGTATTGGCCTCCTATACTCTTAGACCAGTGTTAAATGCCTTATCCGGCTTTGCCATCTTTTGCCTATGTCGTCCATTCTCCCCATTCAAATCCATATCACATTCCTCATTTTTCAATTG